AGGGAAGGGAAGGGAAGGGAAGGGAAGGGAAGGGAAGGGAAGGGAAGGGAAGAAAGAACCCTCGATTCCATCCCTAGCACTACCAAAGAAAAACAGAAAGAGAAAAAACTTAAATGAGAAACTAAAACCAGACTAATAAAAGTCATGGGGTCCTGAAGATAACTACAGTGGAGAGGTTTAAAGACCATGGGACTGTCTTAAGTAGTGGTAGGAAGACCGAAAAGAAAAAAAGCCTTCAAAGAAACAAGAACCAGAACATGTCATTAAGAGTTCTAAGAAGTGGAGGCTGCTAAGTGCTGTAAGGATTAAACAGAAGCTTATTCTGCCAACTGATCCCAGGCAGTTGAAAGGTGACCTTTGAAAAAACCATCTCGACTCCATGTGAGAAATGAGGAAGTGAACACAAAGATTTCCAAGAATTTAAGAAAAGAGTTAGAACACAGGCATTAACAAAAACCATGCTCCACAAAAACGATGTTTTGACAACAAACTTCATGTAAAAATCTGGCTTCCTCAAAAGAGATCAATAAAAAATTTAAAGAAAAAATTTTCTTGGGTGGGAGTCAAACTGCCAAGTACATTTTCAACACTGTGATGCAAATTATTTGTGACTATACTGGCTTGCTTCTGGCTTCATAGTTGTAAACAGTAGTGAACTTTATAGGGTAGTACACTATTTTTGGTGGGTTTTGGTTTGGTTTGGTTTGGTTTGGTTTTTTGAGACAGGGTCTCACTGTGTAATTCAGGCTGGCCTTAAACTCACTGTGTAGCCCAGGCCGGCCTCAAACTCACACAGATCTTCCTACTTCAGCCTCCTAAGTGCTAGGATTACATGTGTGCACCACGACGCCCGGCCTTTAACATTTTAAAAACATAGATACATAAATTCCAGATTTCAAAGGGTTACTGAAGGATCCAGAGTTCTTGTATCTTAACAGTGGGGGTCTTAAGTAGGCAGATCACAGCAATGAAACATACAGGCAATGCATTTTACTTTTAATTTGTAGTTCACATAAATTCTCTGTGCCTAGATTTTGTTCTCAGCTCATTCACATTCCAAGTGGGTCTGAAGTCCAGGAAGAGCCGGAAGGGAAGACAACCCAAAATGCAAGATGCTTTCCCTGCTCCCCCGGTGGAAAGAGTACATATGGCTCTTCACTTGCAAGGAAAAGACAGCTGCTTTTAGTGTTGTCTGCTTGATATTAAATGCAGTCATTGTCATCCTCAGTCTGCAGTGGGTTACAGAAAGTACTGAACAGGAAAGCCAGGAGAGAAGACATAGGACATGCAGCACTTTAGTTGTGGACTGAATTATCTGAAGTGTCCCGCCAGTGCCAAAGGTAAAAAGACTGTGGTTATCAATCTTTCCATTTATTGAAAAGTGGAATACAAGGAAACTACCTTTCAGACTCCAAAAAGAAATCTTCGCCTCTGCTAAAAGCAAAATGAATTTTGAGACAGGTATTTTACATGACAGTAAATGTGCTCAAAAAATATAACCGAAGGGAACGACGCAGTGCTAATTTATTATTTACAAAAATCTTACCTGCCATAAATATTTAGGGAAAACCTGTTTTACCCTCAGGAACATTAACGAAATACCTTAAAGAACTAACCTAAAAAAGAAATGTTTTCCTAACCTCAATGACACCCCCATGCCTGGACACAAACACACACTCTCTCTCTCTCTGTCTCTCTCTCTCTCTCTCTCACACACACACACACACACAGTTGTGCTACATCAACCTCATCTTTATTTAAGGTCAACCTTCTTGGTGACAGAGAAGATAATGAATATATGGCTTTAGTAAAGTTTGCAACTAAATATCACAAATGCCTAATTCTTTCACTAGCTAACCAGCTAACCTGAGTATGGAATATATATTACTTAGATAGCTAACAGGGTACAAATAAAAGTAGGAAAAACATAACTGCTATAACATTCCACTGAGGTACCTAAGTTTTTATGTAAAGGTCTATATATCCATTTAATAATTTATATAACAATTTATTCTATATAGCACATGACCATATAGAAACTGTATCTTAGGTGCTTTATTCTGGTCCAAAATATTAGAAGTAAAAACAAAAATCTTCTATTCAGATAAAGAACTGGAATGTACTAAGAAGCCATTAATATGATGCAATATTAAAATGGAAATTTATGTGTGACAAAGGTTGTCAAGAAGTTCTGACTGACCTGAAGAGGATTTAAAAATTATACACTGTATCCATAAGACAAGGAACATAAGCTTTATTGCAAGCAAACTGATTTACTGTTCCCAATGATTTAGGTATACTTCACTTCCAGACATTTAAGCATTTTAGAAAACAAATTTTTGTAAGTTTGACTATAGGCTATATCAGAAAGTACACCTGAAAACCACTGTTTTTGTTTTAGATACACATTCCTTCAAGTTAAATGCTTAAGGCTCATCTGTTTCAGAGGGTTACCCTACAGAAATTTTCTTACAGTGTGATCTCAGTGCACTTATATATATGTTTCTGGAAAAGTGAAAATAAAACCTACCTTCTTAAATATATCACCTTTCAATTTTAAAAGATCAAAAATATTTTAACCACATCCCTTCCTATTTCTCAATTCTGATTTGTTGAGAACTTTATTTCCCAAAGAAGATACAAATCCCTAAACTTGACAAAGCAGATCAAATAGGTAGGGAGGAGCATGAGACAGTGACATATAAAACAAAACCCCTATTTACATTACCAGGATTTAGACTTCCCATGTTGTAAACATACTCGTTTCCTATAGTATTTGCCCACCTTCTGATTAAAATGGGGGCCAAAACAGACATCAGTGTTGCTGCTCACTTTGATCTGTTGCGGTGAAGTGCCTCTTTCCAAATGGCTTCTCTCTAACTAGAAATGAGTTTTGGTGGGTACCACAGATGAGGCCAGAACAGAAAACACTGAAATGCAGCACAAGGAACTGCAACTGAAAGTTACCAACTAAAGTATGGCCTGGAATAACAGAAGAACCAACGAATAGGTTTGCAATGAGCAGAGTTCCTTACATCTGTGCATACATCAAAGACGTCTGACTTTTAATTACAGAAGTGGAAGCACTCTGAAATATTGCTGACCCCATCATTCAAGAGATGGGTTCTACTCATCTTTAGGCACTGGCAATTCTGTTTCCTACGACGTTTATTTTCTAGAGCTTCTTTATAAAAGGAAGTACACCAAGTTGTCTTCCTGGCTAGGGTAGGGAGGGGATCCTGAGAAAGACGAGGTAACGCAGTATTTGTTAGTTATATCGCTGTATATGGCAGTCAAGTCATTGCCCTTATTTTATGGTTTATTTCTGCCATACTTTTCCCATTCTGCAAGAAAAATTTAAAAGAGGATTTTAATTGTTCACAAACTGTCTATAACTAAAGATTTTTTACTCAGCTATAATCAAGTATAGCACAGGTGCTCATTAGTAAGAAAACTTTCTACTTGTTCCATATACAACAAAGAAAATTTGTTACAGCTAAATAATCTTGGCAACATATCTTCATTACTTAGAAGGATTAGATATTATTAATATATCTTTTTTCTTCCAACTTCCTAAATTTTTTCTGTTACCTAAGCTGCTTTCTTAATGTTGAATATAAATATTTTAAAAGGTGTTCCAGGAAATAGGGCTAAGAAGTTTCACATATTCATCTTATTCAGCAACTTAAGAAATTGTGCAAAATAGGATATACATATATACATTCCCACGTGCACGCGCACACACACACACACACACACACACACGCTATCATAACTGAATCTGGGTTTTTTAAAATGCTTGCACAGTGTGGAGAATTTAAATATTTACTAGACTTGAACATGTACATTTGCAGTCTATTACCACTCTAAAGGGACAGGTCAGCGTAGAGAAACACAATGTATCAACAAATGATTTAACTGAATTGTCAGTTTGTCTTTGCAGACTGAACAGAAAACATACTATTATGAACCTTTATTAAGTGGCTCACATTTCAATATAAATCACACTAAAAAGATTTTTTAAAGCTATTTACACTACAGTGCTGACACATTTAAAATGAAAAAAATTGGTATAAATAAGCTCTATGGAAAAGCCTTAAATTGTCAAAAAAATTCTGGCTCATATTACAAAATATATATATATATGTGTTAATGTCAGCTTGATTCTAAAACCTACAACTCCAACTCGGATGGTTTTTTGAAGACTCCTTTTTGTTTAGACCTGCAGTGTTTACAGTGCATCTGGCCCTAAGTGCTTGATCCTTCACAGTGATGGACAGGCACTGAGGAATGTGGCAAAGCTAATCTATATTTTGTAACAGACTCGAGAGCAAGTCCTTTGCTTGCTTTCAGAATTCATGAATCTTTATTACATTATTAATTTTTTTAAAAAAAAGTAATTTTAAATGCTCTGTACAAATTTAGCACAAAATGTCATCATCTTTTCTATCTTGATTTGAGTGTACTGAACTATGCTGCCTCGTATCAACTAGACTTATGAGACTTCCAGGACACAATTCTTCCTTTATTTCTTTGTTGCTATTTTCAAAGTTAGAATCCACGTCAATCTTGATTTCTGTAAACTGAACATGATCCAATTTTGCTGTAATATTCTTTCCATCCATACTATTTGGTGCTCTCATCTTTTCAGGAATATTAATGTTCACAGGTTCTTCCTTGATCCTTACAGATGCATGAGGTTCATGTTTAATCTGCGGCAACTCACATTTAGAATGAAGTTTGTCTGAAAACACAGAATCCAAGGAGGTTTTCCGTACAGCACATATCCTGTTGTCCGTGTGAGGGCCAAGAACTACTGACATGGAATCAGGTGATGCCCCTCTTTCGTGAGCAGCTGTACTTTGAGTAACGTCCTCCTTTGAGTGATACAATTTGAGCCGAACATGCCATGCTAAACTGCATACAGCGGATACTGTCTTGAACTGATGAACAACATTCCTTGGAATAAAGTAAATGTCATTATCATACAGCTGAATCCTGGCATAGCGGATGCCTTCCCTCCTTAGCTGATTAAGTTTTGCATCATCAACCCACTGGACACACTGAACAAAGAAGAAAGAATGCACGTAAGTATTTTCCATAGCAACATCTAAACTAAAGGCAATGATTATCTGAACTATACCTGGGACAGTGGAGGTTCATGCAAATCCAACTGCATTCGCTGAACTATTTCTAAGAAGTCTTCAGCATGAAAACAAATTACATCTTTGGTTATTCGGGGTTGATCAGGCCTAAAAGAAAAAAAAGGAATCTGACAATAAAGAATCTGCCACTAAAGTTTCACTGTGTCATGCCTTTAATAAATTTAAAAGCAAAAATAGCTGACAGTCAATAATAAAGTCTTCTCTTAAAAATAAGGTTAAATTGTAACTGGAAAACCACTCTCCATATTTAAACACAGAGTTGACACTATGAGCTTCAACTTAAACACAGATTAAAAACAATTCACTCATTTTGCTATAGTTATTTATCACAAGCTTTTGAAAAATTAAAATGATCTGTATCAGTGAATTATGCAAACCAAAAACACTTTCATTTGAAAATTAAGGTCAATATTCAGATAAACTAAGCACAAAAACACACCCACTGCATGCTCTCACTTAGAAGTGTACTGTGGCTGTCGTCTACATGTCCTCCAGAGCGTGCTGCTGAGGGCGTGGCCAGCGGCCTGCAGCCCTGGGAATGTAGGAATGACTGGAGCGTCAGGGCTCCAGCTTCACCACTGACAGCACTGGCGCTCGCTGACTTGATGGCATTACTGGGAAGAGATGGGAGCACGAGCTGAGGCCTGGGGGAAGGGAGAAGAGCACAGAGGCAGGCCTTGGGCACGGCCCTGGGCCACGGCCCCTTCTCTCTGGATCTCTTGCTCTTGGCTCCCTTGCTACCATGAGGTGAGCAGCTCCCCTCCAGTGTGACCCTTCCACCTCACTGGGGCCTAGAAGTGACAGAGCCAAGTGACCATGCTCTGAAACCTCTGAAACTGAACTAAAAGAAACATTTCTTTGAAGTTGTTTTTCTTAGGCATCTCATTACCATTTCGTTACCATGATGAAAAGCTAACATAACATGGAAACTAAAAAAGTGGATCTCATAAAAGTAGAAAATAGAATAGTGCTTATCAGAAGCAGGGAAGTGAATGGGGGTAGACTGGAAAGGCTGGTGAATGGGTACAGAGAAGCGGGTGACTAGACGGAATAACGTCTAATGTTCCACAGCAGGGTAGGGTAACTACGGCTGACATTTAACTGTACACCACAAAAGAGCTAGCAGAGAGAACTCCGGGTGTTTCCCACACAGAGAAATGACCAACATCTGAGATGATGAAAGTAACAGTTGTGCCGCTCTGGTCAGAACACATGGTATGCATGTATTAAAATACCATGCTGTACCCCATAAGTTGTATATTTACTAGCAGGTGTCAATACAAGTTTTTCAAGAGTTAGACATATGGGGGGGGAGTGGAATACTTTCCATAGAAGATATATGTAACCACACTGATGCATAAAACTTCCAAATAACTCAATAAGTGAAATGTTCCTTGGAAAAGTACTAATTATTCATGGGGGTCATTAGTGATTTTAAACATAATACTAGAAAAATTCCCAAATTCTTCAGTTAATTAGAAATATACAAATAGAGTTTTACAAAAGGTATCCAAAAATGGATTTTAAAATGAAATTCTAAGCAACCCAAATACAAACAAAGTCAAGGCAAAATGAATCATAACCAAATTTCTAGAGACCAGTCATAGAGCTTATGTAGGAATCAGGCATTATGTTGTCTAGAGAGATAAAGGGAAAGGGTAATGTATCACTGGGTTGCACGTTTCCCATCAAATGTAGTACAAACCAGAAGAATAAAATGGATTATCTTTAAAAGACAGTATTGGAAGAAAATGTCAATATAGGATTTTATAATCTCTAAATGTAGCCTTTAAAAAGGTGAAAATCGTTTGCAGAAAACAAAGGCTAAAAAAATCTGTCACTAACAGACAGTGTAACAAAGAATGTTAAAGGAATTTCTTCAGCCTGAGGAAAATGATACTTAGAAGAAAATGGAGATTTATATAAAGGAATGTCAAACATACTTAATAGGAAATATTAAAGATATTTGTGTTTGTTGCATGAATCTCTGTAGAAAATGATTCCTTAAACATTGTGAGGTTTGCAGCATATGTAAAGTACAATATGTGACAAAAAAGCATAGCAGAAATGGAGGTAGGGAGAAATAAATTGAAATACCATTCACTACTGAAAGGCTGTTATACATTATACAGATATAATATTGCAGTATTTCAGGACAAACTAGTAAGTTTACAGTATTGAAATGAAACAGCTACAGCTACTAAGCAAATAACAGGTAAAATGGAAAGCTAAAAATGACAAAGGAAAAAAGAAAAGGAGAATAGAAGGCACAAAAGAAAAAAACAAGATGATAAATTTAACTCCATATTTACTAATACTAAATATAAATCATCTAAATATTCCAATAGGGCTGGGGATTTAGCTCAGCGGCAAAGCGCCTGCCTGGCAAGCACAAGGTCGTTGAGTTCGGTTCCCAGTACCGGAGAAAAACCAAAAAAAAAAAAAAAACATTAAAAAAATAAAATAAAATAAATATTCCAATAAAAATTCATGTTACAAAATCAGACAAAAATCAGCACTATTCATACATACAATAAGAACCCACTGAGAAAGAAATTAGGAAAACTATTCCATTCACAACAGTTTTAAAAGTTAAGTGAGAGATTTGGTGTCAAGATGCTGGAATATAGCAACATGAGGAATAAAAGGAGGGAAGTGGGTCCCCAGTAGCCAGCAAGGATCTGAAGTGAGAATTGAAGCCCACAAGGAGAACAAAAGAAGAAACCTCCACGCAGAAGGAGGTGGTAAGTGGCACTTTCTCCCTTAGCCCTGCTTGTTTCATGGGAAGGGTGGCTCAAACCCACAGATGCACAGGTGACTACTGGTTGACCCAGAGGCCTCCATGGAGAAACACACCATTTGGAGCAATGCATGCAGCCGAATGCAGTGGCTGGTGAGTTATCTGGATTCAGACATCCCCCAGGAGAGGATGATTGACCAGTTGCCACTGTGGAGAGAAGCCAACTGACCTCGGAACTCACAGCAGCTGCAGGCTGGCTCCATCTAGGAGCTCCCAGTATCAGAGTGGGGCAGAACCCAGTTCAAACTGGCAGGAGGCCAAGGAGCCAAATTCAAGCCAGGAGGGAGCCAAGTTCAAGCCAGCTGGAGGCACACAGAACATTGCAGGCTGAACAAATCAGGTTCTAGACTCACGGTCGGAAACCAGCCTGAACTTCAGCGGAACTGAAGGTGCAGGTTTACTGAGATTATCCACTACTCTGACATAAATCTATAGCTGGCTTGCTGGGATTCATGAACACAGATCTGGGCTCTGTCTGCCCACTCTGTCTATCAGTGACAGCAGAGACAGACCCTGAAGTGGATATTTTTTTTCTTTTCTTTTGTTCTTTTGTTTTTTTTTCTTGATTCTTTGTTCTTGTTTTTATGAATGCGAACACTGTTTCCACATTTATTACTCTCTTTTTTCTTGCTTTTATTTTTTCCTCTATCCTGTCTTCTTCACCAGTTTCTCAAAGTTCCCATAATATTCCTTTGTCCTCCATCCTTGCTTCTAATTTCTTCCTCTTGTTCTATTTCTCTCTTTTTTGCCTCCTAAGCCCTTTAAAATTTTCTCCCCTAAAGGTAAAATTGCCACATTGAGGGCATATTTACTGTATACAATTTTCCAGTTTGTTTTAAATTTCATTATATAACCAACAAATCTAGTTCGCACATAGTTATTAATAGTTACTATATGTCAAATTAATAGATACTACAGTTCGTTACTTTCTAGGCTGTTTGATGACATTGTTATTATGATTGTACTACTTTAGCCCAGGGGACATAATTATTGTAATCAGCTGTTGTTCCTGCTATGCTAAAACTGAGACTGCCTAAGGGTTATAAACAATACTATATAGGCCAGTGCCAAAGAAACAGAGAGGCTAGGCCAAATGCACAGCAACTTTTCATCTCCAATAAATTGAAGAGGTAGGATCTTGCAAAAGACTCAAAACCCAAAAGCCAGCTGCACTTGGAAGATATCTCTGGGAAACAGTAATTTCCTAAAGGTTCTCATACTAGCAATAAAGCTATGTGCCATAAACAATTTATAACCATCAAGTCAAGAATTAAACTAAAAAAACTTAAAACGAGAAGATATGGAAGGAAAATGCAACACCAGACTTCCAGCTTGCCAAAGGCAAACCCAGAGTCATTGATGTGGACCTATTTGAGAGCCAAGCACCTGGACTCTCTGAAGTGGTAAGAGTAGAATTAACAAATCAGACAAATGAGGCTCTACAAAAAAATCAAATCACAATCTCTCAGATAACTACAGAGATGGTGACCATAATGAAAGTCATGGTTAGTGATTCTAGAGCAGATACAGAAAGAAAAAAAAAAAAGAGCTTAGAAAAGTGAATAAAACCATGAACACCCAACGTAGGAGAGAAATGGAATCCATTAAAAAAACTCAAACAGGTATCCAGGAGATTAAAAATTCCATTGGAAGTATACACAGCAGAATTACTCAAGGACAGAAGACAAGATTGCAGTAAATGATCAAGAAAAAAAAGTTCTCAAAAATACCAATGGAACATGAAAAAGGAATCCAACAACTGCTAGATGACACAAAAGAAGAATAACATAAGACTGATCAGAGTCAATGGAAAGCAAGAGATAGAGAAAACAACATTTAAAAAAAACCTGTTCACAGAAGTAATGGCATAAAACATCCCAATCAGGGGAAAAATAAGTTGAAATACAGTTACATGAGACAGATAGAATTCCAATTAGCCATGATCAAAAAAAATCTACACCAAGGCACATAATAGTCAAGGTTCCTGAAATTCAACACAAGGACAGAAAATTAAAAGCTGTTAGAGAAAAGAAACAAGTCACCTATAAAGGAAAGCCCATCAGAATCACAACAGACTTCTCAACACAAACCCACAAGTCAAGAAGAGTTTAGACTGAAGTATTTCAAGTTCTAAAACAAAACAACTTCCAGCCCAGACTGATGTGCCCTGCAAAAGTATGTTTCAAAATTCATGGAGAAATAAGATACTTCCACGACAAAGAATACCTAAAGATACTCATCATTACCAAACCAGCACTCCAAAATGTTCTGAAGGATACTGTAGACA